AAAGCAGAAACGTAGTGATGCCGGCGTTGAAAATGAAGAGCGCAATCATCGCTAGGCAAATCTTGGGGTTTATGGTGAGGCGAACGATACGCTGCAGCGATGTACCACTTCCACCGGAGCTTTGCTTCTGTCGAAGATGGTAGTGGCTAGCGAATGGTCCAAGCCTTTGCGTAATGTTCTGGGATGAATCTTGCAACATGTCGGTCGTCACAACCTCTGGGAACTCGGTGGTCGCGTGACCCCTGAACCTCAGATCAACACTGAGCGGACCAGTCCACCCTGAAACTGTATCCGCGTGCCAGATGTCCTTGGGCGGGAGTGAGTTGTTGAACATTGTCATGATGTTTGGCGTGAACAAAGGTCGTCGCTCATCATAGACTGCCATCACTGTCGGCTTCACTCCATCGTCGGTGACCTGGACTTTCGACACCCAAGCGTGAGGCTCGCAGATTACAGCGGCTGGTGGATGTAGATACTCAGACGAGTTATCGCTCCGTAGCTTGAATACCCCATTGTAGTATAGGAAAGCCGGGGCTTGTAAAGGTAATCCGGAACAGGGTCGGGCGACTTTTGAGTCCGTTTGCAAGCCCCAGAATGTGGCATTCAGTCTCGGAGAGGACCAGGCGTCGAAATGCGGGACGATGACTGGTTCTTCGCAACCATCGAATTGAAGCTCCACGGTAAAGTTCATATATAAGCCCCTGCCCTGATAGTTGGCGATGTTGTGCTGTTCCAAGATTGCGTAGGAGTTCAACCTAACGCATTGGGTGCCTAGGAAAAGCCCATCTACGGTGGCCGTTACTGGGTTGGCGACAGTTCCTCGACTGAACTCACTCCCGGTGTAAAACGTTTGAAACGCAAAACCTTCCGCGACCCCATATGGATAGTCGACGTTGAAGTCGTATTGTGCCCTTGCCCTGTAGTAGACGCTGGCGTCCGGCGTGTATGTAGATTCTGGTGTCACCGAATCAAAGGTGTCTTGTAAAAGGACGTCGATAGGGCGTGTAACTTGGAGTTCTGTGAGGCTGTACAATCCAGGGGCAAGGATGATCTGGGCCTTGAGCAAGGCAGAAATGGAAGCCACCAGGAAAACAAGATAATGCCTCCGACGAAATGACCGGGAGAAAACCAGAGGTAAAAGCATCGTGGTGTAGTCGAGTGCTAGATCACTTTCTCCAAGCGAGGGACCTGACCGTAGAGATATCCAAGGCATATACATCATAGCTTGCAGCTCAACTCTAGCCCAGAAGATGGTCAAAATCGTGAGGACTGGACGGTAAAACGTTAGACAGTCGAACGGGTTTTATTCTCCAGATTAAGAGTCGAAGATACGGCGCACTACTTACATGCAGTCGGCCCAAATCGCCACACGTAAGTATGCAATAGACTCTGACGACTCTCGAAAAGCCCGCTGTTGTTGGCTGAGTACCACAGCATGACAGCCAGCGCCACGGCAAGGAAGAGGAAGAGGCTAGCAAAGATTGCTAGCACAAGTGGACGTAGCCAAGTCGGGCGCCATGAAGCTGCCACGCATCTTTTGTGATTGCTCTCCTCATCGATGCCAGCGACTTTAACATTCTCAGTAGCCTTTAACAAGCCATTACTGACATTGGAATCTGTGTAGGAGGTGCTGATCTGTGACTTCGAGGAGGGCTTGATGGATCGAGAGGTGTTTGAAAATTCGGACTCTGCGTTTGCAATAAGGTTTGTCTCTTCGCGAGGCTTCCATATGTCATTATTGCTGGCCGTACCATTTGATGTCTCAACGTAAATGGGTTCGTAGCTGAGGGTCTTTGGCGAGATAGGTTTCCGACGGATGGTGTATGGCTTCTGGCTTTTCTTCCGGTGCCCCCACGGAATATCGTCGCGGTAGTCCATTCTTCTCATAATTCCTCGATACCAATGCCGACCTCTTTTGTCGCAAAGCCAATGAGTCCTGCAGAGGCCGAAAGAGACGAGAAACCGTCTACCGCGGAAAGTAGCTGCGTCTAGGGGCGGGTTGACTGGTTGTCGCCATTTTGTATGTATGAGCCATACGGCTCAGTGCCGCGGAACTGGAGGACCAAGCCGTGGACCCATTGGCCTAAAAGGGAAAACGCCTCGAGATCTTCAATCCTCCACCTGAGGTCGTAATAATGCAACCCAGGCGGGGGTTAAGCGCCGATGCAGGTGGGAGGCTCAGCAAGAGCACAAGAAAACCCACCACCCCACCAAACTGATGGACTCCTCGGAATAGAGCAGAAGGCGACTAAATGCTCGACGCGGTTAATCAAGAAATTCAGTAGGTGCAAACAGGCGCAGATATGGCTGGGTTGATTAAGCGGGCAGCCGCTTGTCGTTAATCAAAATGAAGGGCGTGAGCTTGCTGGAGCGGACGCCGATGCGTCGATGGCCAACTGCGGCGAGCTCGACGTGGCTTGATCATCATGGATCTCCGCCTCCTTGTCGGAAGGATGCGTTTCGAATTCACTGTTGCATGATATGATTGAATGAAACGGGACTTTGGTGATTGGGGGTTGTGTTGGTTGTTGGAAGTTCAGAGTGGGAAGCTGCATGTTGGTTGTTGGTTGAACTGCAACGCTCACTGCCTTGGTTTCCAGGTTCCTAAAAATATCGAGGCCGATTGCGACCCACTTCCGAGCCGATGGGTGGATCCAACGGAAGCCGAAAAGCGGCACCTCGAATGTTGGAATTCGGAAGGTACGGAGGTTACCCCGCAGAGCAGCTTCGAGAGCGCCGCATTCCAGAGTATCGATTACTGTCGCAAAACTCGGAAAGCCGAGGCCACCCCAATCTGCACAATCAATGGGATTTTCTTGCCGTGTAAGGTAATGAAGTCCCGACGGACCTCTCGGCCTAGAAGTCCGTCTCGGCTGCTAAAGAGCGCCGAGTCCGGGGCGATCGGCTAAAGACTGCATCTTCCTTTCGGGTGACCTTGCCAATCAGCAGATCTTTCTGTCTGTCATATAAGCTGACTGCCGAGAGGGGTCACACCGTCACAGCAGAATAGCGTCAACCTTCGTGCTCTTCACGGCTCCAACGGTTGGGAAAAGACTCGAACATGTGGTAGTACCTCAAGTATGTACATGCCTAAGGTACCTTACCTTTCTTATTAGTGGGCCGCTTTTCAAAACCATGGAAACGCAATAGGACCAGCAATAAATGCCGAAGACCGTGTGTAGGTAGGCAAATTTGAGCACGAATAGAACTGAAGGGAAGACGTAAAGAGATATAAGACAGACTGTGGCCCGTCTACTCTGGCCGCAATTGCCGTTCATCTCAATCTTTATTAAATCACACTCGCCAAACATGACGTCCGAAGAAACTCTCCCCGAACGATGGGTCGCAGCCTGGTCCAGCGACGACCCGGCCGCTTTCGCGCAGCTCTTTGCGCCGAACGGCGTCTACATTGACCACGGCTCACAACTCCACGTGACGCGGATGGACAACCACCATCGGGTCTGGCGCAACGCCGTTCCCGACTTCAAGGCGGTGCTGGACCCGTCTACGCCCATTTGGTGGGCCAAGAACGACGGCGTTGATGGGAAAACGAGAACGACTTGTGTGTTTAGGTCTCTGATGAACGGGACGTTTCTGGGATCATTGCCTAGGAAGGCGGCGACGGGAGCGGAGTGGTGTTTTGTGGCGATGGTTTGTATGGAGATTGAGGACGGATTGATTTTGAAGCTGGATGAGTTTTATCGGGATAGCTTTGAGAGGGGTGTTCCGGTGGATCAGTTTCTTCGGGATGCGTAAAGAATGGAACGTCTTTGTCTTGATGCTTCTTCTGTGGATCTCTCCACCATCCACAATTTTACAATACCCCTAATTGAGTTCCATAACTTGTGTCAATAGTGTCGAGGTTGCAAGTCGTCTTGTGCCGCAAACTACGCAAATACAATCCCGCTCACCAACTCACTCGATACCTAGATGTGCAGCCATCACCAGGTCTGGTCCGATCAATAAGTCTCGATTCTCTTCCATTGGTTTCTCAAAGAAGAGCAGCAGAGTGGATTGGTGGATCGAGCCTAGACCGTTGCGGTGATTGAGGCCGGAAACAGACAGCGCCAGGGCCGAATTAGGGGTGGACCAGCGGCACAGCGGCAGTGGGCGGCTCGCTAGGCCCGCCAACCGACGGGGGCAGCGGCGCCATCCAATTTGGGACCGACGATAAGGACACGTGGAGAGCGATAAGACATGCTGTGGGGCCACCTTTAAATTTGTTTTTACCTCTGGCTGGTAGGTACGTACTGCCTCCTGTCCACCACCAGGAAACCCCCAACACTTCCAATCGAACGGGCACACAAACCGCCGGCTTCCCTCTCCGTCCCTCGTCTCTCTGGTTCCTCCTCCCGCAAGAATTGTGGCCACTTGTTCAGTGTCGTCTTGTCTTTATTATCCACTGCAACCTTGTTTAATTATCAAGCCTTGTCTCTTTGACAAACACCCGCTCGTCCCTTGCTTTCTCCCCCTCGTGGCACCAAGACTTTCTCCTACAAACTTCCGTACGGGTATTGAATAGCGTTTACTCGCAGCACACGCGCATTAATCGCAATCACCCACAACCAAAACATAATCAGACTCGAGTCACAATATCGCAGCACCGGAAACCAGGGCCCCAATACCAACCGCTGTCGCTTCAACGCTTTGCCCCTCCTCGCGTGAGAGTCTCGACTCTCCCCGGACCCCCCGGCCACCTGATCATCACTCCCAGCCCCCCATCTCGCCCTCGTGGCCCTGGAAGTGGCACTCGCAGAGTCGCAGCAACACCTCATCTTTTGCCCTCCGTTCGTCAATCGTCGTCAGTCACACCGCAACAACCGCTGCTGCGCGAGTATCCGCCTCCGAACAGCAGACTACTGCACCTACGCTCTCCAGAATCCAGACTTCCCACCTCTCTACTTTTCTTTCGCCCTCTTTTACCCTGCATTTCTGCAGCAAAGAGAACCACGTCAGGTCTCACCGCTACGTCAACGGCATCGAAAAACCTGCAGCCCATCATGTTCGCCTTCCTTCACACCCTGCTCGAGTTCAACTCCCACGTCACGCTATTCCAGCGTATGATGTTCCTGTTCTCCTTCTGCCTCTCTGGCATCATTCTCGCGGTCCAGGCCTCGCAGGCTGGGGAACCGGATCACTTGCGCATCCGCTGGACGCGCTTGACGGAACAGAGTCGGTGAGTTTATGTCTCTTTGCTTTTGGTCTCTGTCTTTCTCTCGTCTACGGATACTCCCTGCATCGCCCGTCTTGTCAACGAGGCGGCATAGTTCCAGACATCTATCTGAACTCCCTTCCGTCTGAACTATGAATGATGAGCGTCAAACTCAATCAAACCCTCCAATCCATCCCTCCCTGACTTTCGCCTCCTTGCTTGCTTGCTTGCTTCTTCTTCCCGTCTACTCTTTGCACCTATTGTTTCAATGCGCATTGCAAAATCTCCCCTCTCCCTTGTCTCTTTGACTTTCAAACTTCCGTGCGCAGGAAACCCGGCAGGCGGCAAGCGCCAATCTGCATCTGCAAGGCTTGCCCAAGGGCCCCAAGGACCCCCCAAAATCCCACCATCAGCGCCACCTGGTTCTTCCATGCGACAAGGTTTCAAAGAAGAAAATCCCCGCAATTTAATCATTTCCCTTTTATTTTTGGGGACAAAGATCCAACACCTTACACCACACCCAACTCATTGAACGGACGGTTCCACGAATCCACGGACGATCGCAAACGCGCTAGCTCCAAGGTTACCTTACCTTGTTTTGCCCGTCCACATTTCATTTTTCCAAGGCAGCTGAGGGTGGGGGTGGTACCGTGGTAGTACCAAAGCGGTCCAGCCCATTCATCTAGCACCCACCCACCTCAACCTTTTTATAAGACCAACGCCATGGAACCACACTTACCATACGTTCGTGACCTCTTTTTCTTGTTGCTGACCTGTCCCCATTCGCAGTCCCTACTGGTACACTTTCTACGTCACCCAAGTCTTCCTCTTCGTCACCGGCGCCTACCCCATGCTCTACGACAAGATGACAATGTACATTGGCAGCGGCTACGAGGAGCAGATCCTCAACATCATCTGGGTCGGTCTGCTCAGCGTCGAGGCCCTCATGGTTGCCGGCGTCGCCGGTGTCGCGATTACGCGCAAGTTCAAGGGCGCGCCGAAGCAGAAGACGAACTGAGGCCGCATTGCGGATACTGCGAGATTCTATACCCTTATCTTTTTGTTGCTGCTGTCTATATTCGAGATCTATCTATCCCTCCTACCAGTGGGGACGAAGAACATATACCTTTTGGGCGAAAGATATCACGCCTGCATATATTGCATCTATGGAGTCGGGGGGCTGTTTTGAATATACCATTTTATCGCATTGCGCTCGCTTGCTATTCGAGTGTGCCATTCCGAGTGACCAACGGTCATCATCCTACCTACGAAGAACGATGAATCGGTTCGAAAGACAACTAGATCCAAGAACGAAAGACTAGACAGACGGGCAACGAGACCCAAACATACAAACACCACTACCAGCGAGCGAAGAATCCAGCCTCGAATTACTACAAGATACCCACGACTTATCCCGCATCACACCACAAGGGAAGGTCATGAAAGAACGATTGAACGACGATACGAGAACGTGAGGCGTGAGTGCTTCACGTAACGAAACGGCCATTCAGGATGGAGCCCTCGGTTCTGGACTGCCAACCCGCCGTTAGCATGGAAATATTTAGCCGCCAAAGGGAATCAGGCACGAGCATACTAGGGCAGGGATAATACATGATGGGTGGGCTTCGCTTCGCCTGAACCGGCAGCCGCCGCATGGCAACAGGGCCGGCTCAATGCCCGAATTACGCGGGATTCACTATGGATAGGAAGAGGTACCCCGCGGCTATTGACCACGAGGGTTCTGCGGGGTCATACCCGCACCAAGCAGGAAACGTCAGCGGCATCGGCATCACAAGGAAGCCACTCTCATCATGGAGTAGAAGGTTGGAGACGGATGTCGTGGATCTAGGATATAAAGCGACTACGTATCTTAGCTCCAAGAATCAGCGTCTTATGCCTCAAGGTAGTCGAGAATACTACCAGATGCAAACTATCCACCCAAGGTTTCCGAGATTGGTCACTTCGCTCTACACGTGACCACGTGCCGTGCATACGACTTGCTTAGTTGAGACTATCTTAGTGTATGGGAGAGATGCCCTTGGAGGGGGGTTAAATTGCTGTGAAGGAAGCTGTTGACGACAAACTTCATTCCTTGGGTACGAGAATATCTCAAACCGTGTCTGTTAGTCCGCATAAGCGAGATCCTTCGAGGCTTCGGTGCGCAATGTTACTGCGAAGTGGCTACTATTGCCAAAGTCTAGGTGAGAGACGTCCTTTGAGGGGGTCAAAATTGCTGTGAAACGGACTAGCATCTGCAACAGCCGCTTGTGCAGAAGACAGTCCTAGCTGCGTCAGCGTTTCTGATTTTGATAGGATGAGCCGACATACCGAAACTTCTGACCCCCCTTCGGTTTGGTTCAGGATGCAGCCAGGATGCACGACGGGAGGGCCAGCAGCTGGTCATTTTTCCATTTGAGCTACGCTGAGCAGGGTTCTGAGATGTTGATAGGGCAGGTATGATGCGTCAGCCGAGCGTTTGGGGAGAGAGCCTGGCGATTGATAGCCTTGGGGTGAGTTAAGAATGCAGTGAAGGTTTCTCTGAGTGGTCGATTTGCTGCTGATGACGAAGCAAACGAGCACACTGGTTGACGTCCTTAGGGTGAATTAAGAATGCAGTGAAGGTCTGCATTACTACGTATGCACATCGACCCTCGCCTACATTAGCGCCTGGCCTTGGAACGCACGGTGAGGTTCGCCTGATGTACATACATACATACACGTGCAGTGGCTTGCCAATGTGTGATACTCTTGGGAAGGCTTCTATGTCAGTTAAAGTACGGTACAATTCTTGGGCATATCCCGTGGGAATCTTGCCATACGGTCGCGCGAGAATTCGAGGGTGATCTTTCGCAAAACTGTGTCCCAAATCACTTTCAAAAGGTAGGAGAAGCTTGACGTATGCATCCACGTACCACCCTATCTAAAGACCAGCTTAGTACAACAGGTATTCACCTCAGGTTGTTCCAGCCACTTCGTCTCGTCGCTTTATAGAATCGACTCGTGGAGCGGAAAAGACTTGATGCGTGTACACTTCTAGATGACGGTGTCCTATGGGAGGCCTGCTTCGCTGACGGGAAGCCTTAAGCTTCGCCAATAGGCTGTCAGGGCCACGCTCAAGTGCTTGATGTACCAGAAAACGCATGTGCAAAGGCGTCCGTAAACACATCCTTAGTGTGGGCTAAAAATGCAGTGAATGGAAAAAAGGGTGTTCAGGAGCGCGACAGCACACCCTCTTTTGTAACAACCTAACTTAAACCGGCATTACTGTATTACCACTTTCGTCGACCTCAGCCTCAGTCTCACTCATATCCTCCTTTGAATGGGGGGTTTCTCGTAGTGCTGAATTGAGGTCATGGCAGCACCGATTTGAGAACTAGATTCATTTGATTTAACAGCGGCGACGGCAATCTCACCATCAACGTCCTGGACATGTCAGGAATTGAAGCTTCTCAACATCGAGTAACTTAATCCATAGCATATTGCGGATGAGCTTTGTGTATTGAAGTAATAGATCTCGACAGGAAGAGTTCAATTTCTCATTATCATGTTGCCACCCCCTTCTTTCTCGTGAAGTGTCTTCAGCTTCGACATATCTGACTTTTCTAGAAACTCACTCACCGCCGTAGAAGTCATGAATACGTTGCCCATAGCAATCCAAGACTGGAGCTCCTCAAGCTGCTATTCCCCAATAGCCTTACTGCAAAGGTGAATGAGTGAGGAATACTCCATAAGCGTGCCACATGTGAATTGATCTTCTCCTCATCCTTGCTCTTCGCCAGAGTAAGGAGATCCCAACAGCTCTCTGACGCGACGATGACCAGCGTGTCGCAAGTCGGGTTTATTGTATGTGTGAGGAACACGTGAGTGAATTGACTTTGTGTGCTTTACACGCTTACAGTTAGATCTCCGCGGCGCGAACTCTAACTAAGGTATCTCAACGCTCTCGCCGAGACATGTACTAATTGAGTAAGCGAGGGGACCCTGCGGCTCGCGACAGAGGATGACCAACGCGCCTGGGAATAGGGTCAACGTACTCCGTATGCCCGAGGGGAAAAGTGGTCAATTGACTTTGTAAAGTGCCTCCTTTTGTGGTTAGATCACCGCAGCACAAACTCTCCATAAGTTCCAAAATGCTTGAGTAGAGCCTCAAAGCTTAGCCATAAGCGGTTTGGTAACCTGAGGAATTAAACTTCTACTGTCAAGACTTAGCTTCAAAGCTAAACTAGTAATAACAGCGCCTCACTTAATATAACTGAGTTCATCCAGACCAATCTTTCCATTCAGACACCAAGTCTCGCCCACAATTGGAGAGCTTTCCCCGCGTTGTGTCCATGGGATAGTTGATCGAAACGGCTGACTCCGACGCATCATCAATTATTCTCAGGCGCTGAAAACAATCCGGCTTCTCGCCGCGACTTACATCGCGGCGTTATATTAGTACGCCACTTGAAGGCAAAACACAAGGACACCTGTAACTCTTGTAACTCTTCATATATTGTTGCAGAAGAAAGTGTTCAGATTCGCATATGCTCGTGGATCGCGTCCATACGGAGAAGGCTTTCCTCCATGTTCTGCTCAGGGAGCATAGTCCTAATCTGGATAGGAGTAATAGGACGCAACTCAAAAGGCGTGACACTATTTTGTGGTTCGTGGGGTAGCCCTGAACAAGAAATTAGCAAATTCATTGCTTCATTCTACAAAACAGATGTTGAGCGCTTTCGTGGGTTCGAAAGTGCCGTTGAGAGTTTTTTTAAAAGCGCCGTATAAACGCTGTCCATCCGCAGGTTCCGGCCACAGTTCTGACCGCGCGCAACGCACCGGCCACCCCAGCGTTCCTACTGAAATCGACATCACGAGCAGGTCTGCTACATTATTCAGCTGCTCGTTCGAGAAGGATTCATCGTTCTTCCTGAAGTCTGGCTGATCACGGCTACTGTTATTATCCCCTTTTCATCCAACGTGCACGGCGATGGGGGAGCAGGGGTGCCGCGGTGTTTGGGTTGGTGCTATGCCCGTTGTAGTTAAACCCTTTAGGCGCATAGCTGTGGAATATTAAAGAAAGGATAAAAGTGCTGGAGGTATTATCATTAACACTTTTTTGTCTCGTGGTGTTGTAAGTCACCTTGCTCGACCCAACTCGTATTCCTGGGTCTAGTTGAACTTTGGCTTCAAATCCGGTAGGGCTAGTTCGACCACTATAACAGTATTTCAACTAGGCCGTATAGGAGGCCACCAGAAAGATTTATCAAATTGATGAAAGCTAATTGTTCAGGAAAAACCGAAAAGTAGGGCTTTTGCGACATTATGCAGACAGAGATACCAAGAACTTTGATAAAGTGTTGTTCGTGTTAGCAGCAAGTCGAGGCAGTCAACTACACCACGAAAATCAAAGTTTAGGTGATGTTCGGAAATCCGGAACTAGAAACAGTATCTTGTGTTCCGTACCAAACAGCTACAAGCTTACAATGATTAAGTGTAGCTGGTGTAATACCGAGGTGACTTGAAGAATATATAAGAGCCCTCAATATTCCATGCTTCAGCTTCATGAGCATCTCATCACATCCACATCTTTCTCTCTCTAATCAACATATCTGAGCAACTAAAGATGAAGTACATTCTTTTGACCACTATCTTTGCCGCTGCCTGCGCAGCTGGACCTCTGGCTGAAGTCAGGGATCTGACTGGCACGCCGGAGAACACCCTGACCTACGTCGACATTGCTCCGGTTGAGTTGGAACCGCGGAACGCGGACTTGAACTTGACGGATCTTGTCACTAGGGATACTCTCCCTAACACCGCATGCCCGGCTGGACAGACTTATGACCGCTCGGTCTGCTTCAAGTCCAACATCATCCGCAGCTTCTGCGTCGCCAACCCTCGCAGCAACCGCGAGAAGATCACGGACACCCCCTGCGGCGCCAACGAAATCTGTGTTCAGCGTCGTCTCCTCTCCAACGGCAAGAGCTACGCCAAGTGCATTCCCGTCCTCGACCTTGTCTTGTGGAAGACCAGCCCGGA